CACCTGCCACTACGGAGTGGGGTGGCTCCTGTCACGCAGCGAGAAGGTTCTTGTGCCCCTTAGAGGGGTTGCAGAGGGGATGAAAAGGAGGGAGACCCCCAGTGAGCTTTTTTCTTTTATCTTGCAGATGAACCAGATGGCAGGAGCAGCAGAAACCAAAGGAGGAGCACGAAGCCTTTAAGAATCAGATTGCTAAAGAGGAGGGAAAACTGAAGCCAAAAACTAGGCCTGGACAAAACAGAGCACCAGAATGGAAAAACAAGCGCTGGAGGAGCTTAGCCAAAAGGGGAAAGAATAAAATAAACCAGCTCTGTTCTTCATTCAAATTCCAACTCTGTGCTTTCAGGAGAGGAGACCCAGACAAACTGAAGAACTGCCATTAAGCCTCCTTTGTAGCTGCAGCGGCTCACAGTTATCTGCCTCCGTGTTCCCTGGCAGATGGCACTGCAGTGCCAAAAGGCTGCACATTTCCCAGGATGTAACAAAAGGGCACCAAAGAGTGACCAATGGAACCATCATGAACACACACACACCTGTCTAACAGGTAAGAAAGATCCTACAGCATTGCCACAGCCCACGGCAGCTCACGGTCGCCTGCAGCTGCTGTGCATCAAGGAACTGATGCCCAGGGATGCATAACGTTCCCTCTGAAAGCTCCATTTGCTCAAGCAGGGCTTTCTGATCTCTCTGGGGAGATGCTGCTGAGCCTGTATTTTAATTGGCTTTCCAGTCCCAAGATGGATTTTCATCAGGCAAGACCTCACTAGGGGATGTTGCACTACATCCTCCCTTCTCAAGAGCACTCTCATTTTTCAGCGCAAACGCCCATAAAAAGGCCATGATGTCAGGCGTACCATCTGCGGGATGCGCTGCGCTCCTCCATTACCAACCGCAGACTGACGGGCGCTGCTGCTCTATCACCCCCCCGGAGCAGCGTTACAAACCCCTTTCAACACCCACCCACCCCCCAGTTTCAGTAAAGATCCCGTGACACTTGGTGGAAAAAAACAACATTGTATTTGATTTACAATTAACAGGATTTACAAATAATGACAAGGAAACAGATTAGCCATGAAAGTAGGATGCCTTTGTTGATGAAGGAGTAGCTGGCAAAGCAGCTGCTCCTTTATGTAGAAGTCATGTACCTCAGTCCTAAACAGTGTAAAATAACTTATAGCCCAGGCAGGTTCAGGAATGATTATACACAAACGCAAGTCGAGGACAAAACAAACCCCAAAATCCCTCCCAGCCTACTGGGCAGGAAACCAGTCCTGGTGAGGCTTTTGGTTTTCAGAAACTGAAGGAAAGGCCCACTGACAAATACTAGGAAATTTTAAAAAAGGGGGGGGGTTTGTGGAAAATGTCTCAACAACCAGTAAAAGTCACCATGTGACAACCTACAGGGCAGGGCGAGTGGGCAGCAGAGGCTGCGTTAGCTTGCTGAGAATCAGCAGGGTCTGGGCGCTCGGCAGGACAATGAACGAAGGAGTACAGATGGCAGCGCTTCATTAAAATGCTACTTTACTGCCAAAAACTTGCGAGACAAAGAGGAATAAAGTTCTCTGATGTGCAATACAGCAATTTAAGAAGACGTACCTAACTTTCTGATTTGTACGGAGCTTACCTATATTGTAAACACACACTTTCTGACAAGTTACTTCAATTTTCTTTGCTATGGGTTATGGTGTGTATTCAATTAAATGCAGCATTCCAAGGCTCAAAACTGACTGAGTGGTTTTCAATAGACGGGTATATGATTTTTCCAATATCATACTAGTATTTTACATCACAGATACAATAAAAACAAGTGATGGTATTTCTAGGACAGTTCCAAGATTCAAATAAAAAAATCATCAGAACCATTCTAAAATAAGATATTATACATAATCAAATCATGTTAAACAGCACACTCTCGGCAAGCAGCTAATTACAAGCATTCTGCTGGTCATGTTTTTCACACAGAAGTCATTCAATAGCACATAAATATTTCTTTTTCTGATCTGCTTCTTTTTACAAAACCATTCATCAGATTCACAGAATTAGTACAAGTAAGGCACATTAGCATATATCATAAAACTCACAATAATAACAAAGAGTTGTAAAGTTTTAAGGACTAATTCCTTCTTTGCAGTGATTTCTGAACTGAATGAGACTTTATCAGTAGAACCTTCCTACACTGACATTACTCTTATTTCCGTCGCAGCCAACGGTGGTGGGTGCAATACTGTGCATCACCATGGACATAAATAATTAAATTAAGAACCGTGTGTGGTAGCAAATCCCATTTTCAGATTTTGCAGAGAAATCAGACACGTCGTTCACCATGTTCGTTATGAGCACAGAGCTATACAGAAGTCAATTTCCAGTTATCAAAATAAAAGGGGATATTGCATGTGTCTCCGAGTATATTATTGTTTTCCTAGTACAAATATTGCTTAATGTAGAAAGGATGCTATAGTATTGAATTTACTTGCATAATGAATCCTAAATGCTGATGTCTCAGATTCTACTAAATTAACTGAACTATAGGTTTTCCTTCTTCCGCCCCCACCCTGCCCCCAACCAAAGGACTCTCTTTCCCACAGAAGATTCATTTACACACAACACAGCTTTTAATTAGGAGCATAATTTACAGTAAAAATTCTTTACATTACACCTCTGCTATCAAAAAAACATGAAATCTTTCATTTAAAGTTGTAATTATACATTAAAAAATAGAACACTATTTCCTTAACAGGAAGAATGAATTTGAACATCTTCAGATCAGATTTCTTTATTGCGGCTTTTGAGTCAAAGGTCAGTCACTTTATTCTCTAACGCAGCTGCTATTTGCTGTAAACGGAAGGCAAGCTGCATTTTTTGTGCAGCTGGATCCTCTTCAAGTGCATTTATAATCTGGAAGAAATAAACACAGAATGTTTAGAATCATTTAGCTTAACATATATGACATAGTTCCTGGACCAAGTGTTTGATACTACTTTGGTAGTAAAGAGTCTTTTGCATTCACTCTGTACCAAAGATAAAGTCCATCTAGTAGGCCCTGTGTTCTATTTTTATAGAAAGGCAATAAAAATGATCATCTCCGTTACTTTGTCTAAGTTGCTGTAATGTTTCCCATTATGCTAGGAACCAAGCAATTAATAGGCAGTACTTTATCCTGAGATATATTACGTTCCAAGATGGAGCAGGCAGGGGGAAAAACGTCTCTGTAGCTGTTTAAGAAACAGTGCTTTTACTTACAGTGCACCCTGCAAGGCTTAAGGGTCATTTACCAGCAGTAATTAAGCTCCGTCCCCATGAGCTTTGGTTACCAGAAGCTCCTGGGTGGTCCTCGCCCAGGCATAAGGTAGGGCAACGCAAGGTCTCTTGTGTCTATAGGCAACACGACGAAGAAAACGGTCGGGCCACAGCATCAGGGAGCTGCTGGCAGCTCCCCTTTGGCTCTCGCCAAGAAACGCCGAGGCTCTGGCCCAGCACCACGTAGCTCAGGAAGCAAAGAGCTCGTCAGAGGAGCCCCCCAGCATCCCGCATGCAGCCTCTGCCGTACAGAGTATATATATAGGAAGGCATGACTCTAAGACACAAGGGATTTGAAAACAAGAGCTAGAAAAGGTCAACTGTTATGAGAAGGCTTTTCTTCAAATAGAGTTTTTTAGGGCTTCTCAAGATCAAATTTCAAAGGTTTCGAAAGGTTTTCATTTCCACTGTCCTTTAGGGAAACTTTTCCACCAACTATTAGATTTCTCCATTCGAAGAATGTGTTACATGGCAAAACCGGTGCTTTTCTAGAACTGGCTTTATTAATAAAAGTCAGACACCGTAATCAAGCAGAAACCTTTAGCTCTGTTTAAATGCTGTATAAACTTGCAAGTACAAGAAGTGGAGAAATAGAGTTTGCCTGTCACTACCTGTGGTTCTTACTACTTCTTGCACGTCACTGACAATGGAGATTAATGCAGTCAGTATCAATCTAGCCAATAATTTCACTTTGAAGGGCTGGTATAGCATTTGAGTTTCAAACACTGGAGCAAATTTATTTAGAAATAATTATTTTAATGGATTTGTTTTTAAAGCGTGAAAACATTTTTAGAAGACAGAGTTAATAAACACTTATTACAGTATTTAAATTGGGCCTAATTTAATTTGCTATTGTTCCCTTAATTTAAACAATTACATCTGGCTGTAACTCCTCAAATCTAGACTAAATAATTCATTATTATCTCTGCTGGTGAATATATCCTTCATATAAATGTGGACAATTAGAAGGTACCCACTTAGTCATTGTCAAACCCTGCAGAGATGCAGAAGGTACAGCGCACGCTGGGAACCACTGCGTCAGTAATAAAGACAAGGGCAGCTGGAAAATGTTCCAATTTATGCAAATTAAAACATTTTCATGGAAAATAAATAAGCTCGATTAATTTTACTGGATAGTTCTTGACAGATTATCTACATAACTCTGAATTAGCAGCCTTTTCATCAGATGCACCTTGTTGTTACAGTGATGCACGTGAAAGGAAGAGCTGCAGCTACACACTGGGGTTCACTGGCCTGCCACTGACAAAGTCCCACAGACTGGTGACTCCACGTGAAACCACGAGTGGAAGCAGAGACACAGGGGCGTGGAAGAGTCACAGCTTTACGGTTCATCTGTCACCCAGGGTCCCCAAGTGTTTCTCTAAGAGGTCAGGCCACGGATACATTCGGGAAAAATGGCATTGAAAACCAGCTTGGTTAGCGCTGGGGATGAGGGGCGAGGAATCCAACGCCACTGGCTTGGCCTGCATTCCTCTGGCCGCTTCCCCTGCTGACCCTCGTTGCAAGACTTCTCAGGGTGATTTCATTTTCCCTGCTTACATCTGTTTAAAAGCTGCAACAGGCTGGCTGCTCCGGTATAAAGCAGCTGCAGTGAAGCTAAGGATAAGACTCACTGCCTTTAGTGCTAAATATAAGTGAAAACACGAACTGTGCTGAGGTGCAAGACAAACTGAAGAGAGTTCACATGTGCTGTACTCCTTTTTTGATTCAGCATCTGTTCTTACTTGCTTTGATTTAATTCCGAGAGTTTTCTGGAGGCATTCATTTCCATGGAAACCTTTGAATGCAAGTTTCCTTCTCTCTTTTTGTTTTCAGAATAAGTTTGGAGAGCCATAGCCACAGCCCAGCTACACTGGGATATTCTTTGTCCCCCTTTCCACAGGGCGTGAAAAACCTAAAAACCGTTTTGGACTGTATCTGTGAGCCTCCTTTTGAATCAGGCTATAGTCAACGGCTACGCTACTACTTCGGTTTACCTTGGCCAGGCACTTCATTTGGCACGGCAAAACAGGGACGGTAGCACGCATGGAAGTTTTAAGTGCTTCTTAACTAATAAAAAAGGCACGGCCCCATTCCTACAAGCAAAACAAGTTTAATGGATTGTTCCTAATAAAAAACCCACTAGGCTGAAACCTGATATAGCTCTGATGACTACTTTTTGCTCGGTGACACTCTTATGTCCTAATTCTTAGGAATTGGGCCTAATTTAGGAATTAGGACAGTAGAACTGAAGAGAAATTATTTTTAAATCTATTTCTCTCTCAGATCTTGTTAAACTATCACTACCAAAACCAGATAGTCCATAATGAAATTGTTCCTTTATAAGAACACACCTTTGACCAGTGTAATTGCCAAGCAAGGCATATAACGGCAAAGTCAGAGCTTTCTGTTCAGCATTGCTTTTACCTCATTATCCACGGAATTCCAGAAGTTGTTCCTTTAGAGTGATTTAGCCTTCATAACTTTTTACCATTGATAATAAAAAATGAAAACAAAAGCTGCAACTTACCTCATCATAGTATTTGTTAGTATACTGGTAGAGTTGGTGTAGAGCCACAAGCGTATTTAAGGAATCAGTATGTGCCTGTTAAACAACACAAGCGGGCAGCAACATGTCAAAATATGATCACAGACAGCTGGAAATCACGCACATGCACAGCTGCTGGATACAATTTATAAGACATCCAAATGCAAGCTCTGCATCCTGTAACTTTTGTAAATGACAGCTGGGGCAGAAAAAAGGGGTGAGAAAACTTTTGTTTGGTGATTTTTAGATCAAGACTTTCCCGCAAGTTTTTTTCCAGCCTGCCCACAACTCTAACACTGGAGGTGGAAAATATTTTGAACTCTGAACGTCAAACCACAGACTACAGCTCAAACATCTGTTAACAACATGGGTATGTAAAACTAAAGCATTTACTCAGTACAATCTACGTATTGTTGAGATATTAAGCATTGGCTTTGTCACTGTCATGGCTGTTTGAAATCCTTTCTCCAGCTCTTTTTAGCTCTCTGAAATTATTCACACCTCACTACAGCAAAGGTGTAACTCATCAAGATCACAAGCACATGTACATTTGGAAAAAGCCATCTGAACCATGAAGATGGAAAGGGAAGAGAGAGAGAGAGAGAGAGAGAGAGAAAGGACTTTAAATGAAGCAGGAAATTTCATTACCTCTTCCTCCCTCTCCCCTGACATTTAACTTCTTTAGTGAATGTGCTCTACCTGTCTAAACAAATGTTTCCATTCAAACATATAGGACTGAAGTCTCTAGCTACGCCTTTAGTCTTCTAAGTTAATTAGGAAAATGAAGAATTGCAAAATATTGCTACTGGCATAAATCATTACCCAAGGCATAAAGCAGCAGAGAAACATCCATCTTTCCTTGCTCTATAAAAGTCACTTCTAAAGCTGGTCAAAATTTGCAGTGTTCAATCACTCCTTCCATATTAATTTCTATCATAATTTATAATGTAAATAGAAATATTCTATTGAATTTACTTTTAAACACCAAATCTTGTAATTTTATATACATCTCAATTTGTGTAATAAATAAAGCGAACTGGAAAATTAAATGTCACTGCAGATGAGTTTTCTAGTGAATTACTGAAAACAGAAATGCTCTCATGAGGATGTTGATCTGCAAAATCTTAGGTCCTAAGGGCACTGAAATAAACAAGCCACAAAAAATTCCCCAAACATCCTCCTCACGCTAGAACTCTTCAACTAAATTAAGCAAATGAGCAAACCAGCCAGTAAGTACATTGTCTCTTTGCTCAGGATAAACAACATCTTTTAAGACTGGTGAGGGCCTCTCCTGGTTCTCCAAGTTAAATCGAGTGCTTCAAAGGCACAAGTCCGCTCTAGCTAAGCTGAGCTGCAGAGTGGACAGGTTCTCTCAAGACTGAAGCAGGTTTTGTAGTGTCTTTGTTCCACCAGTCTCCAACCAGAGTCCCCAGCTGCCCCCCCCCCCCCGGCTCTTCTCCATGAGTGGTAACCCCCAATAACCTATAATGCAAAAAGAAAAAGTGCCACCGAGCGAGCACATGATGAGCTTCTCACATGCAGCAGAAAGCAGAAGTATTGCCCTCATATAGACTGCTCTAAAATAGGCTATACTTAATGTACGTGCGTCCTCTTTCATTTCTAGAATCTAATTTTTGCTGTGGTAGCACTCTGAATTCAGTCATTACTTGTTTTCAGTATGATCAATGCTAAAAATCCTCTATACGCTGTGGAGAGAAAACACAATTCAAGAGTGCTATTATTTCCACAATGGATGTGAAAAAATCCAAACGCTTTGCTCTGGCACCTACATCACTCAGATTAGTGATAATAATCATTCTTGGTTCCATTCAATAATCAACATTTCAAAAGGCTAAAGGCACAACTACACTAAACAGGAGTATTTCAGAGATTTATGAAATAACTCATTTGATGTTCGCACATACACATACAAAAACCCCACTTGTTGAGTTAGAAAGAGAAGACAAAGCAAAACAGTGCTATGCTTGGCTCCAATTTCAGGATAAGAAAATGGAATTTATTCTTACCCTAGAAATCTCTGCTAGGTGGGTATTCATGTCTTGGTCACTAACTGGCACCATCTGACGAATACCTTTGTAGTAACTGCAACAGATGAAAACAGACTTTCACTTAGGTGAAATACACTGTGGTTTTCTGGTAATTCTCTCTTTCAATTTTTGCAATTATTTTAAACATACTTCTTAATAATGCAGGAGATGATCTACCACAACAGACCAAGGAATCCTTTAGTAATTCTGCCTTCCAACACTCATTAGTACCTTCACAACAGAGGCAAATCATACCTGATTGTACAGGGCCATGCCACAGGGAAGAAATCTATTTACACTGCAGCTGATGATTATTTTAGATCCTCAAACTTTTGAAGTCATCAGCTAGCAAGAGTTTTGTCCTGCAGCAGATCTTCCATGGTATTCACAGAATTGCCAATTAGTAGATGAATAAAGTCAGAGATGGAATAGAAAAAATGTGTCTGTGAAAATGTTTTCAGGATTTGGTCTCTACTGAGTTATGGAATTGCAGCGTTGGTTAGACAGCCGACCCAGTCTTAAACGGTGACATATGGGTAACAAGAACCACTGCAGAAAACAGCACCATATTTTCTCCTGAATAAATCTATCCATTGGTCTGCACAGACATGAAGACGTGCTGGGTCATGATGGCACTCCATTTCAACCCTGCCAATGCCACCACCAAGGGAACGTTTTAACATTCAGGTGTAAAATTTTTAATGTTTGACAGTTGACTTTGACTACCTCAGCATTTGCATTTCCTCTTACGCAGGCTTAAAGCCCTAACAACTCTGAATAAGCATGAAAAGAGTCTATACTTACTCTTCCACCATTTTCTTATAGTTAGAGATTTCTTTCGCGTAAAGTAATTTATTACTCGGAGAATCCTGAAAAATTTAGAAGAGAGAGAAACTTGGTTGATTTATGAACATCTCTAGGAAGCAAAAGAGAGTCAGGAACTGAAGATAGAGCCTTTATATTCACATGCACTTGAGCTTTAGAGATATTAACATCTGGGTGCTTATTAACAATGGTGGGATTATTTGTCCTAAAAGGATGAAGTTTACACATGGCATTACTGTTGAGTTTTATGAATATATCAATGCAAGATGATACTAAATTATTGGTGGACATGAAATAATCAGTTCTCAAACTTGCTTTTTATAAAAGCAGTTGCTATTTTCTCCTTTTTATAAATATCAATTGGCAGACTACACAGTAATACTGACATGTTCACCAACCTGTTAAGTGGTGAAATGCTAACTTCATTATAAAACTAGAAAGAAACTATCAAGGCTGTATCTCCTCAGAGAATGGGTATTGTCTATAAGGATGCCCTTTGTCTTGTCAGGCATGAGCATAGTCAGGATGTAGAATGCAAATCACTTACTCTGCTTAATTTGTGCTCTGTTCTTGTGCAAGCATCCATGAAAGTCTGTGCAATGACTGACAAGGAAGCATCCACTACTTCGTGAACATGAACATCAAAGATGAAATGGGGATTTTTCAGTATGTTTACCCAGAATCTAAGAGGCAGGCTGCAAAGCAAGGAAAAAGATAAATACTCCTTTTTACACAATATATGTTCTACAATAAGAAAATCACATGAAATTATGTGTTTTGCATTTTGATCTCCTCACAACAGTGAAGCTTAATTTTATATTTCAACATTTATACAAGCTATCTGTTGTCTGGTTTCCATGTCTGAAAACCAAGTCTTTACATCTTGTAAAGTATCTTGAGTGCCCCAAAATAGCAAGAGAATGTATCTGTGTGGTTAGAGAAACTACCTGAGAAGTATTTTATTAGATTTTGTGCTTTGATGGGTAAATCTAGTCTCATTTGCCTCTTTCTTTCCCCTTCTCTGAGAAAAGACAAAAAGGAAAGTGGTAAATCTGCCAACAACAACCCCATAGGTAGGCTGGTTTCATTACTGCATCTTCTAGGCTTACAGGGAATCCTTTTGATCATGTAAACATAGTATCTCTATCAAAATGATTCTGAGAATTATAAATGAAATTTACTTTCATTTGTGGTAAGAGTGGCAGTATGCACCTGGGAATGACACTCTCATTTCTCTGCAATACAAGCATTACTCTGTTCATACCGTACCTGTTTGTTTTCCAGATGTGAATGGTATCTTCATCCTTGATGTCATGTTTTTCTGCTTGCTCATCAAGAAAGTCAAAGAAGTATTTCACAGCTGGTGGCACCACGTGGTTTGAGTTGAGCACACTATGAAAGAAGTTATCTACAAACTGCTGAAGTGTTCCCTAAAAGGAAATTTTAAAACATCCATTACATTTGTGTTACAGGCCATCCTAGAATCTTTTATTCCTATTGACACTAACATCCCATAATCCAGTTGCAGTCACTGATGGCCTTCATCCCGAGTGCTAAGGGTACCGGGTGACAAAAAACAAGCAACATCTTAGTGCAGTGACCTTGCAAACTGCCAACACAGTAAACACCTTCTAGAGAACAACTTTATGTTGTAGCCTGAAAGGTTGTGACTTCAGCGACTATTCTATGCTTGGCACAGAAAGGTGTGCTTTCTGTTTGACAGAAGCAGCAGAAACTGGTTGCTAAGTATACAATACATTTACTCTTCAGGGTCATTGTGCACATAAAATAATTGTTAGCCATTTTTTAAAGGTTTTGCAGCTTCCCACCTCCCATTTCTCTGACTCCAGAGCACTGTGCAATTTTTAGAAAGAGACTGAGAGGAAAAAGTACCGGTGAGCATTTGACTTTTTGTTTAAGGGCAAGCACTTGGGTCCCATCAGACACCCAGTCTGGCTCAGCAACCTGAGCTCCACCAAGCCCAAGGAGTGAAGTGTCCCAGGAGGGCTGTGTGCTTGGTTGGATTCCTGCATCTGCCTCGACCTTAGAGACTGCCACCTCAGACACTGTCCCCTTGTTTGAGAGAGGACCCTGTTGAGGCCACATGCAGTTTGTCCTCACTCAGCTGGCTGGCCCTACGGACACATTTGAAGGGCTGCATCCTCTCTCTCACTGTCACTCCAGCTGCCAGTCTCAGAACAGGGCAGGGGCCAAGAAGGCAAGGAGCCCTAAGCCAGGCTGCTGTCAGCAAGGACACGTCGACAGTCCTTGGGTTGTAGGGGTAGCTGTGGTCCCAGCCATAACACCTCACCAGCTCCGTATGAGTTAGTAAAGCTCCAAACTGGTAATAATCCATAAAACTGGCTATTGGGAATAGAAAAGCGGTGGCTGCAAAGGAATTATTAACAGAAGAGAGGGATGTAGGCATCTTGTTGGCTCTTTGTCCTGAGTCTATGTCACCTATGCACAGACTTTCCTTCACATTCACTTTCACACTTGGATGAATGGCCTTAGCTGGAGCCAGGCCACCTTCATTTTCACAAGGAGCCTGGCTTTAGGGTCATTAAACACACTATTCTAAATTCTTTCTGCAAGGCAGAATGCTTCGCAAAATTATTTTGCTTGTGATCCATTCTGCAGTATAAGCACTAAAAATACTTTAAAGGGACTATTATTATTTGAAAACATTTTTATTTTTCTAGGGTATACTGCAGCACTGGTCACACACAAGAACAGGGAAATTTAAGGCTCTATAGCAGTTTATAAAGCATTTGGTTCAAAAGAAAACCCAACAAAATATTATCTAAACAGGCAGCACAGAGGAGAACATCCATTTTTGTCTTGCAAGAAAAATCCTTATTTAACGAACACATAATCATGGTTCTCAGCTTTGACTGGGAGTTATACTTTATCTCTTTCCCAGTAATGTTCCTTAGGGCACATTGATCACTTGAAGCCCTGAACACTGGCTTGTATGTACATGACACACACTCAAAATTGCACCCAAACACATGGCTAATAGTTGCATCACGTTCTTCAGTTGTACCTCAAAAGCTATAGAAGTAGGGTGTAACCGTGGCACACCTGAGCCCTACCTTCACAGAAAGAAGTCTGGTCAGGTAGATTTCTGTAATAGCTTTGGTCCTTTCTTTTTCTTTCACACTGCCCCGCTTCGATTTACCTTCATCTATTTCATCTACTGGCCGGACTAGATGCCAGACCTTATTTTCATCTTCCAGGAGTGCATGCCCTAGAAACAGTAATTGCAATAATTACAAAAAACAACCCACACCCAAAACAGCAACATGAAAACAATCATATACATAAGTACATGTAAGATCTTTGCTCCCTATCCTTACCATACCTGCCCTCTTGCCAAGAGGATCTAGATTACTCTGTTCCTGTCCAACATATACAAATCGGGTACTAAACGTTCAATAATCCATAAGCTGAAAAAGCTTGCTTTTTCAAGAGCAAAGGGAGAGGAAGGAATCACACAATAGGGAAACTCCTGTTCAGTCACACAAGCACAGTATGTGTATTTTTTGAAGTCCACACATTGAAGTACTCTACCCTTTTGTGAATTCTCGGAGACACGATCAAGTTACAGGAATTCAGCTAGGTCTGACCCAACAGCCACCACAGAAGGAGCAATCGCAGCATACTGCATGTACAAGGCAAGATATTGTTATAGCAGCTCTGGTGAATTTGGCAGTGGCAATTTAAGAATTTATGATCCCAACCTTTTTTCTAGGTATCACCATTACAATTTACATTTTTACCCTAACTGCTGAGTTCAAAGTATGGTACCTCCGTTCCAACCTGCCAGCATTTGACCGGCACCACTTGACTTTGTAGCTGAAAGGAGGAAAAATGCATCCCTTTGCTGAGAGGACGTGAACTCCGGCAGACAGAGGTAAAGACTGCAGCAAATTCATAATCCATTATAAAAAGATTTTTTAAAATTTCTTTGTCAGTATTCATCGCTTAAGCCAGAGAAAGAGACTCAGATCATGTCTGTCACTAGATAGCAGAAAAAGGAGTAAGCACCTGGATGCTAATGACAGCTCATCTGATTACAGTGCCTCGCTATGCTATCTGTGGCTTGGTCATGCGTCTGGTCCCTGAGCTTCCTTCAATGATCACGCAGTGGAATAAGGGGAGTCTTGCGTTTCAGCATCAACATGAATGTTCAGACAAACTCTATGCTTGAGAATCTTTTGTTACAAACAGTTCTAAAAGAGATGATACAATTGTTTTAACTTGCAATTAATATCCCTTGAAAAAAAGATTCTGTGTTACAAACTTACTTTCAAATCTCCTGGTTTTGCTTATTCTTAATTTCTGAATTTTTATATCTACTTGGCAGAGTTCCTAAAATCAATGGTGCTTTTCCAGTGGAAGTTACTGAATCAGTGCAATTAAAATAACTGATGTCTTAAAAATGTGAAAGTTATTTTTCCCATAAAAATTGTGATTCAGCCCTTTTGCACCAATTATTTTGCATTACTGCTAAGTTTTAGGCTTTAATATATGTATCTAACATAATTGAATCCCAGTTACAGCAGCAAATACCAGTTTCTAATTGCATGAATTTTATCCTTTCAAATTTTTGGCCATAGTAGTTTATTAACTAAGTTCCTCAACAGATACATTAAATTTACCAGCTTGCATGAATGTTCAATATTTTACATCACAGGGGAAAATAACATTTATGTGTAATCTGGTCAAGCCAACACTTCTGCTTGAATCTACTTGACATATCCTCATGAAAAGCATTAGCTATGCAGTCTTCTGGGGCCTTTACTTCTTTTTTAACCAGGTAGGGGAAAAAAAAAAATGAAATCCTACACTAAGTCACGTTGTCCTATGAGAGTCCTTTGACTTGGAAGTTCATGTGAATGAAGCAAGAAAGAAATAAAAGCTATCATTTTTTTTTGAAGCAGCTGCGATTTTGCAATCCATACCATTCATACCAATCATCCGCCAGTACAGTCAAAACCACTGCTGGGGCTGAAGCCTGGAATTTCTTTTGCAATGCCTGTTATTTACTTTTGTAAATTAACAGATCAAATCACGCAGTTATAGCAGAAACTATGTTCCAGCCTTATGTCAGTTGGTGGGTACATTTCTGCTTCCTCCTTTGATTCAAAAGAATTTATCCTCTTTGCCCTCCTGATGGTATATGGCCCAGCTTAACTTTGGAGAGAAGAGAGACAACCAAAGGGGCTTCCACTGACATTACTGACCCTTTTGTGCAGCTTAATTTGGCCCGTATTTGTTTAGCAACAACAGAATTGGCTACTAGTGAAGTAGTTGTTTCACAGGAAAGTAAGGATTAAGAGGCTACAGCTCAACTCGATGAACTTTTACAACACAAAGATCCCACTTCATTGCTAAAAATAGCAGGAAGAAAGAGGAAGAGAAATTCAGAACATGGAGCAACAAAACATGTCAGCAGTATGGTTGCTAAGAGAAAATAACATTTCTATGAGACAATATTTTCCCCAATAGAAAAGTTGGAGGTAAAGAAAATAAAAGGCAGGGGAAAACACCTACTTTTATATCGCTGTAGCCACATTACACGTCAAGCTGTAAGCAGGGAAAAGACTGTGCCCACTGGGTCAAATGTTCCCCCGGAACTCTTTGTCTTGGCCCTTGGGCATTCTTTGGTCAATATAAAATAATGCTGGGGGCGGGGGGGCAGTTAATGCCAAATATTGACTGTGCTGACTAATTATAGTGGTATGAACCATGATGTAAATGTGATGGAGGCAAGTCAGATGGTGACAGGCAACGCAGCCCCTTTCCCCTTGCATGGCCTGCAGCAAATTAGCTTCCTTCCAGTCTCCTCCCCTGCTGTGAATACATCGCTCCACGGAGGCGAAGGAAGGGCTGCCCTACACAGATCTGCTGATCAGCATTTCTGATCTACAACCCTCTGTCTATTTTTATTCAGAATTAAAAAAGGAAAAAACACAACCCAGAGAAAAATCCCAGAATAACAGAGCATTTTGTTTTGGCTTATAGTTAGTACAGAAATACTAGCATGAAATCATTGAAACCATTCTCCATCTTGATACAAATTAGTAATTGCATTTATTATCTCCAGAAGCAAAAGATGCTGCATTTAATTTGTCACAACCTCCAGCTTCTAGCATCTTCCTGTTAGAAGCTGTGAATCAAAAGCAGCATGGAAGCAATGCCAGGTTTTAGAGCAACATCTCTGAACATGGTTTTACATTTTCGTTCTGTGCAAAGCCTAGTACTTTGGCAGACAGTCAATGGCTTCGGCTGACACTTCTCAATGCAAAAGGTGCAAGTTAATGAGAGACTTTGAATAAAAGGAAAACCACTTCATCACAAGCCTCATTCATAGAGCCGGGATAGGATTTCTGCTTATTCCAACCCTGTAAATTCCTGTGTCATATAAATGTGTAAGTGTGGGAGGGGAAGCCTCTGATCCTCTCCTTTCCCTTTTATACACATAGCGTCTCACAAATCACTGTCACTGCAGGCTCTCACTTTGCACCAGCTTTCTAACATTTTATAGCTTTCCAAAAGAAGAAGTTGGCACCAGATAGCTCTGAGGACCCTTCAGCGCTGAAGGAAATGGGCTAGCCTGGCACAAAACACTGTCTTCCCAAATTTGCACGCTACCATGCTGCAAGACAGGGTGTGGAGAAGAAACATGGTGGAAGTTGTCTTCACTCCATACTTTGGGATCTGAATTCTCTCTGCAGATTTTGCTCTCACATACGAGAGCCCTCATGTGACAGCACTGTCCCCAGCAGTCTACTTTTTTTTTTACAATTTAGTATGCCACATGTATAACTAAGGACTTCACCTTGGAGTACAGACCATGTATGTTCAAAGAGCTTCATCATACTGAATCATAGGTAAAGATATAATATTAGAGAAGGAAGAAAGAAAAAAAAAAACCCACAACAAAAAAGAAAACCACATGGTCTGCCTGCCACAAGGGTATCGAGGTGGCGAGGACGAAGACTGGTAGCCCAGAATGGGAGACTGACGAACTGCTCTGGGTTAAGAAAGAAAAGCAAGCTCCATTCATGGTCCACTCCACTTCTTCAGAGCAGAGGTGGCTACTGCCTCAGCAGTCATCTCCACAGTCAGGGCAACCAAGCTGAAGAGGAACTAGGAATCGGCTCCTTGTCAGGCTGCATTTCACTGCCCTTGATATTAAACTGGATCGCTTTTTAAGTTAATGTGCTGGGTTGGCACCTACTGTGACAGAGTAGTCACCACTTGGCCAACTATGGCAGGCACTTGCAGTAAAGGGGTAGCAGAGAGGATAGCAGCAGAGGTGTAGCCACGATCCTTAGAAGACCATTCAAAGATGCTGGAAAAAGTCTCAACGGAAAGCATCTAGAAGGATAGAGTAAAAAGTAAACAAGTAATTCTGCCGGTCCTAATTTCCTGGCTAACACTCAACACAAATGAAACGGAAGTCTGCACATTTTTGTTAAATAGCGATGTATGTCAGAGCTATCAGCTGAGACCCATCTTCTTGAAAAATGTACATTTCTGGCATATTATTTCCAATCTGTTTGACTGCTCAGCCCTTGAAATCCATTAAATCTAAAATCAGTAAATCTGTTTAAAGGAATGAAACTATTAGGTGAAGCAATGGCTTTTGGAATCCATGCTAGACAGAAAAGCGTATCAAATGAGTTCACAGAAGGAAGAATGATCTCAACAATTACTGTTCCATAAATCTAACTTCTACCTCATGTAAAGTAACTGAATACAAAGGATAAAAAAACCCAGAGAAACTCAACATCTGAAATGTAAAGGAAATGCATGTGACAAAGAACATAAATTTACAAGTAAATATTTCCATAAAAATCTGAGTGCATTTTAGGCTGTAATGGATATTGTGTCTCAAGAGGTTTTGAGATAAAGGAAATTGGTCTAGACAGAACAGCAAAATGTAGAAGTAAAAGCTTTAAAAGATGGGTTGCAAGCTAACAGATTGTCTTCTGTGATGAGAAGTCCAGCATACTGTAGCAGACTGCAATGCAAGAATTACTCAACAGCTGCATTAGTGATGTAAAAGAGAGGAAACATTATAAGGAAATTCCTGACACTAACTTACAGTGGATTGCAAACCTCAAAAAGAACAAAGGAATTGTGGAAAATGCTGCATCTAAAGAGATAATGTGTATGGAATGAACAAAGCCAACCAACAAACCCTGGAAAAACCAAGCTAGCATAGCTGGTGAAACATTACTCAAAGGGAGCGAGACACAAAATATGACTGTACAGAGATGAGCTTGCAAGGCAACATAGTTGTAAGAAATGCAAAAAAAAAATTTGTACCAGATCCATTAGGGGAGCTGGTCTCTACTGTGGTTCATCTAAAACACTGCATTCAATTCTCAGTCCAATAAGAAGTGGAAGAAATTTAGAGAGGAAAGTAAGTAAAAGAAGAAGGAAGGAGAAAAAGAGACTAATCTTTGGAAAGATGAAACATACGGTTTGACTACAGATGTAGTGGGATTAAGAAACAAAATATGAAATATGCAAAGAAATGTTTGCTAAGAGTGCTTTCTATTAAGCTGGGATGTGGACTCAAAGGAATTATGGTTAAAATCCCATTATTTAAGACTTTTATAATGAGGACAAAGAAAACCATTGCAAGCATATAGTGGGTAACACAGAACAAATAAGACCCATATAGTCTGGTGAGGAATACCCAGCTCCACAGACGTGCTTGATAAACAAGACTGAGACAGCAGTGTCACTCTCTCTGTGTTGGTTTTCACTTCTTGTCATTTTGGGAGGAAGGGGAGCCACAAGATACTTACTCTCCCCTGGGACATCTTGCTGATTATCCTCTGGCTGCTGGGAAATTCCCATTTTCGATAAGATGAGTGTGGCACCATCTCGGACCTTTGAAAATACAAACACAAGGATGTTATTTGAAAGAATAACCTCTTTCTTAGTACCTCTTTCCTAAAACCGAAACTACAGTTTCTGTAATCTTTTGCAGGGAATCTAGACCTATGATTAATGATGCCCTTCAAAAGCTTCTTGGGCAACGGGCTCTGCAGTTTCGAACAGACTCCCTCCCCTCCCTTTAATAAGAGATCCCATCAATACCTCCTCTGAGGTTACTGAAAATGCTGGAAGCATCTCCAAGACTTAAGTGCTTCCTGAATCCAGTGTGGGCACCTTTTGTACAAAACCGGGGTTTATCATGAGTAATACGACCTGTCTGTTTTCTGAGAGAAAACTAAGTTCTACCTTTCCTATTCATGGTATCTGTTGTTAGAAAGCAATAAATAGTATACGAAGGGAAAATAAGTGGATTGCAAGTGCTTGGTAGAGTGCACAGTATGAAACCTAAAACAGACGTACAAAAACATCAACATCTGCTCTCCTGACTGGGCTGTTGAACAAACCAGACCAACCCAAAATCTATTTAGCGGCAGAGCAAGGTCAAAGACAATTCTCAGGGGTAGGAAGTGGTAGAGAAAAGAAGAGAGGAATACGAGACCTAGCAAAAAGAGCTTCTGAATGTTCAAAGGGGAATTTGGATTTGGACACTGCAATGATGAGGAAACCAAAGTGCTGGCATTTAGGTGATGTGTTTTTGCTAAGATGTTTAGGCAGTATCTCTAGACCTAGTCCTTCGTACTCCCAAGCTTTTACTGCCTAAACCCAGCGCTAGGGCTTTCTTTGATTCTTTATGTAGCACAGAAGTTTCTCTAAAAACAAATATTTTATTTATTACTAGGGAACAGTTAACAGATGTGAACAACTGCTCTGAAGCACCTCCTTACATTATAATGCATTAGTGTGTTGATACGCTTCCATCTGCCATCTCTTTGGGATGTTAAATCCAAGTCTGAGAGGATCTGTGCAGTAGAACCTGGCCGCCACTCTAAGGAGTAATTAAAATGAGAAAAAACAGTTTTTAACCATGTACAAAAATAACTACTCCAAGAATGTTTCAGTTTAGAGACCCACTGATACATTGTGGAACATTAAAAGAAGTAATTTGGCACATGCCATGATGTGTGTTTTTTATTACTGTTTCATAATTTGGTCTTTATTACAGAAGTTTGCATGAACTATTCCTAACCAGGCACATGACTTCTGATTATTTTCCATAGAAAATTAAATTCCTTTGCATAGAATACTACAAATATATATAATAAGAACTGCTATCAGTCCAAAATAGAGCAGGACTTTGTATGGAATAGAAAAGGCATTTTTAGGGAATTTACTAGAATTTTCTGAAGAGCAAGAATTGCATCCTCTACTTTCAGATTAAGGCAGTAATGAAGATATTGCAAAACCATTAAATGCAGCTTTTATTATGAGATTATTAGGCCTTCTAAGTTATGTCATTTTTTTTTTCCTCAAGAAGAGAACAGCAATTTTGAAAGCCTTCAATGAGGATGATTTTCAGAGGCTGGGTGGCTCATCATCTCCTAAAAGTGCAGCTCCTGTAAGTTATAATTCTTTTGAATAACCATTATAAAAGCAAGTCAAAATCAGTACCAGTTTCTGAAATCGCATCATTACTCCTCCATCAGTTAATTGTCAATGCTGTCATTATCACATTAATTAGTACTTGAGATACTGACTCTGTCAGATATGAATACATTTGTGTTAACAGTCATTAACAGGCTCTTTGCACACTAATGAAAGTAAACCAAAACTTTAAGAGTCAGGAAAAAGAACTCTGTAAGAATGCATTAATTTTTAATTCATATTAAGATTGCTGCAAAATGCCGTATTTTTGCATCCACCTGAATAGAATTCAACTTAAAAAAAAAAAAAAGAAAAAGCTTTTATAGACATTTTTTGGGAAAATACAAAATCACACAACATAGAATCATAGAATAGAATCACAGAATCATTATGGTTGGAAGAGACCTCAAAGATCGTCAAGTCCAACTGTATACCCAAACACAACATGTTTCACCTGCTCAATATAGCATCACAAATAGCTACCTACCAAGAACTACACTCTCAGCTTTTGGCCACTGAGAACACGGCAGATTTCGATAGACTTGGTCTATTATCTTTTCCTTTACTTGTGATATAGTATCACAGTTCAGCACTTTCACAGGTATGGAATCGGTTCCTCCATCTTGTACAAATACATTTACTGTCTGTTCAAAAAAAAAGCACATGGTTATTAAGACAAACCAGCACTGAATTACCTCTGAATCTGTTTTTCTGGGTGATTTAAATGCAAACAATATCTAAAATTCACTATGCAATGATTACTGCACAGCAGCACATATTTGCAATGGGAGTATGGATTATTTGAGGGATCCTTTGCTGTTATGCAGCCAACCAGCTACCATAAATTCCAGCTAATTCCTCCCACTATGACAAAACAGGAAAAATGCAGAATAGATTTACTGATGTCTAATATGCTACTATTATTGAGTTTTGGGAATTTAATATTAAAAAGTGACACCCAAGAACAAAGCAGCTGGACCACTGACCAGTTACAAGCTTCTCTCATAACTTGATAACCTGGAACATAAAAAAGCACAAATAATGCAGTGCCCAAACTTAACAAGTTCCCAATAACCATTTGAGCTGCACTTTGCTGAACTCCTAGAATATTTTGTGCTTTTGCCTTCCTTTACGTTGTCTTCATGGTTGTGATTTTACTGCTCAAGTCGAGTGGACTAGGTCTGTACATATGGTGATTTAACATGGCTCAACTGATGGGCAGTGACTTGTTCTGCTCCTGTAACTTTACCTCCTGTGACCAGCTGTTCATTAGATATATAGAATACACATATACATGCACACACACACGTATATATGTATATATAAAAGCCATTTATATAATCTTTGAAGTTTGAAGAGTTCATTTACTGCTTACTGTTGTCGCAATAACTCTAACAGGTCCATAAAATATACCTAAGTTGTTTATGCTAGTTCTAAAATATTACTGTTTTCTGACAGTATTGACATTTTTTTTTTAATGTTAAAGAGAGTTTGTTGAAAGCCTATAATTTGCTAAATCTAGAGTGATTTTTTTAGAAGTAGTTTTGCTATATAAGCGTCAGTTTTAATACAGACAAAAGCAAATGAGAAAATGATGGCCAGGAAACCTCCCCAGAAGGAAAAACATGACCAAAACCAAATAGATGTTATGAAAACCCTCTTTCTTTCACTAGATGAATCAGTACAACAGCTCAGCACCCTTGTGGATCTTTTGCCAGGCTGGTAGCTTTGGAGGCCGGGCACATCCGAAGCATCGCAGCTCTCAGATACATACGGGCCTGCCAACTGTAATGCCTGAATTGATCATCTCAAACCTCAGACACAAACTTGCATGGCTGGTATTTTTAAAAACAGTGAAGAAAAGCTATGCCATACGGCAGTCAAATTAAACATGATTGCACTGTCCCTTGACAGAACTTTCAAGCTAATCATGAGATTTCACCTTCCTTTTCCTATTAGCCTTATGGTAATTAGACATGATTTTGCTGCTGGTTCACTATGCAGCATGTCAGTGTAACCAGTGATGCAAAACAGATTTATTTTTTAAATAAGAACAATTAGAGAGCAGACAACTGCTTTATACCGTACTTTCCCACTGTGTCTCACTTTCAGGCAGAAGTGAACTAATTAACTCATGCTTTAACCTACCTTGGTGCACAAACGCTCCCTAACTGCTCACAGTTACCACAGCAATGTCATCATCACACCAAAGATCCCAATAATTTATAGCAATAGTAACCTCCCATTCATAATCTTTCATCATACATATATATACGTATATCTCATCATCTTCCATGAACACACACACATAAAGTCTTTGTCTGATGGGAAATCTAGACGTTTGGACCAAATACTGCTACTGTACAATGTTATAATGTTTAATATCTAGCTAGTACGCTTGTTGTGCCCACATCTGATTGCACACACAAATTTTCTCCTTTCACACTGCATTCATTTAGCTTAATTGCAGGCATTGGCTTTTTTGTGAAAAGAAACAGACTGAATAAAGAATTATTGCCATCAAGTCTTACACAACATACAGCACAAGTAAATTTCATTTCTCCTTAGACAAGAGAAAATATAACCAGCATTGCCAGTCAGTGTGGTTTCTATGGGTGGCACCTTCAGCTCAGATACGAAGATGACAACTCAACTAATCTCCAAAATATCAATTGAACTTAAAATATTTCTTCTTGCCCAGCATGCCCTTTTCCTCCAGGCAGTCTAGGTCACAGTCTAGTGATTCTGTGAGTGAAGGTCCTACAGCAGTCTCCTCTCATCAGCATCCCTTTCGAACACACAAAATGGTGATTTTTTTTTTTTTTTAACCAGGACTTAATAAAGCTTTTTATTAAATTTCTCTTTCCACACTGCAGATATGTCACTGCATCTTTCTCAGCTGGAGACAACCACAAATGGCTCCTAACGTGTCAATAAAAGAGAAATCAGAGAGCAAAAAACCAAATCCTGTGTTGGTCTTTGAAGGACAGTCTGTGCATCTTTGATATTCATTACATTATATCCTGAAGAAAACCAGTAAGACTTTCAGAAAGAGTAAAACTAGAATTTACGCTCCCTAAACAGCTGAAGAGTGGGCTGCTTCAGTTTTTTAAAAAGACAGTGAATCCATGTGTTGGAGTCTGGTTGAAAAAATGGAAATTTGTGGCAGTGAAGAGCATTATGTCAAAGCAGAATTCATAACAGAGAAGAACTGGACCATGGCACTGATGATCAGATCCAGGGGGTGGTAGCGCTCACATGGGGAATTCCTGGGGCAGGGATGTCCACTTCATCCCACGTGAAGCGTCTAACACATGTCTCCAGAACTGCCTGTAGAGGCAGCTTCCCCTCATCACTGTAGGGAATTATTCTCTTAGGTGTAAAAAAACTCCTTTCAATGCCAGTTGGGCTGCCCATGTTCAGGAGAGTTTGACTCACCCAGGAACAAGTGCAGAAATAGTTTCATAAAGTGTTTTAGAGATTGCAGAGCCATCTCACAGGACTGTAGAGGAACTCATCCTGGTATACCAATAAAATGATCTCTAAAATGACATTTGATATGCTGACGAGCAGCCATCACAAGGGAGAAAGACAACCGAAAGTTCAAGCATAACGTTAGTGCAAGAATTCTGCAAAAATCAATTGCCAGTTAATTTAGATGGGAAAAGGGCAGAAGCCAAACACCTCAACCACTGTTCAGACAGACTTTGAAAATTATGAAAGGGATTTACTGAAACAGATTCCACAGTGGCAGGACTTGGATTTAACGCTTAGAAGAGACTTTATAATTCTATTTTCCTGCTTCGAGACTTGCTTTGCTCAAACTATCAACAGTCCTGCCAATGACCAGAATTTCTATGCAGATCACAGTAGTCCAGAAAAGTATGTACAGACTTAACACTACAAGACTTAAATTTAAAAGAAAAAATAATTTTATAATATATTAATCATGCTCCACTTACCAACTGTGTATACTCTACATCATCTCCCAGTAAGCCTGTGTCATTCAATGTATACTTGGCTTTCTTTAGTACAGCATCCACTGGGCCTTTTTCTACCTGGTGTTTGATAGCCTTGAACAATTTGTAAAGAGGCTCCCCGGCATTGTCCTGTTTAAATGAAAGGAAATGAAATAAGCAAAACCAAAAGATACACTCAATGCAGCATGTTTAAGTATTATTGATTAAAAAAACCCCACAGGCAACAGCCTTCAACTCTTACCTTGAGATACTGATATAAACAAATAGACATCCAGTTAGACAACATTCTCTCAACAACCGTTTCAGATCTGAAAAAAAAACCAACCCGGAGTATGGTAAGGGTACTTAACGACAAAGTTTTAAAGAAAAACATTGCTTGCTTGAAATATATATTTTTACATGCTTAACTGCATGCACTCTCCTAATGCAATGATTTCCCTATAGAGTCTTGAGAGCATGTACTTGCTTTAGGATAAGTGCTTTGTATTGCTCATCATTCCCGGGTACCTTCAGCTCATTACTGAAAAGCACACATCCTTTATGCAAAATCTTAAATTGGGTCTACGCTGTAAGAGCTAAAAAATTAACCCAGTTGTGCAGTTACTGGGAAATAACCTACAGATTACAAAGCTACAACATACACAGAGCAAGGACTTTTGTAATTTATTTAGAATAAGAACAGGGTTAAAAACACTAGAGCAAACTCGGACTTTTGTAATTTATTTAGAATAAGAACAGGGTTAAAAACACTAGAGCAAACTCTCACTGAATGCACAATGCAAGCTGATTATGTGTACTCATTACAGAGATGATGTGTGGTATAGATGCTAGATCATTTGGAATAAAATTAGATTAAAAAGTAAATGAAATGTTTGGTATTTTATTTTGAAGTAAGGTAGATGTTTCAATAATCTAGATGCAGATTCTACACTACAGTATTTAAATAAGGAAATCTGTTGCCAGCAGTCCTGCCTGTGCCTTCCACAGCTATTCCTGGTGAGCTTGTCTTCCTAATATGCTTGGCCAAGGCTATTTCTGACTTTCATGGATAGTTAGCATTTTAATACAGCCGCAATGCAAAAGAAATATATTTACAGAAAACCAGAGAACTACAGAAAGTATGACAATCATTCAAACCTTCTTAGCATCAGCTTTGGGTTTTTGGCCACCACATACTGCTCCATCAGTTCTAAGAACAGCGTCCTCATGATGTCAGTATAGTATTCTAGTTTTCCATGTAAAGCAACTGTCAGTAAAGATGCAAAATACACTTTAGCTCGAGCAGAGAACTCCCTTTGGTTTTCCAGCGTGTGAATAAACTGAAACAGAAAACAAATGTAAAATCAAGTCAGATGACAGGTTTCTGAAGAACCTCAACACTTGTCTACACTAAGAAGACAAGCAATATTATTTTAATATTAATCTCCTAAGCAAAGAATGGAAAAGTTTTCAGAAGTTTGAAAAAACTACTTATAAGAAAATGTTTCCTATAATTTGTTTCTAGATACACGCACAGTGTACTGGACTAACTCAAGGAATGCTTAGATATTTTAACTGAAGTCTTATCTAAAAATGATGCTTTAATTAAACGAAAAAAGGTGTTCTGTGACAATTTTTTAAAAAGCAAATCAAGTCCCCTCTTCCCCAAATTCCCAGTCCTTTCACATCAAATTACATAGACACTAATCTAAGTACGCCTGGGAATGCACTCTCATCTGCCATAAACTGTAATGCTACCATTAACTAGCTCAGCACTGGAGCTTCATTTAAAAAAAGAGAAAAAGTTAGAAGCCTAGATCTATATTTAGGTGTCTGACAATCCGCCTCAGTTTTTGAGAGTGAGCAATTAGAAGTCTCTTCAGAGCTGCTGTGAGCACTCATCAATCTCGATGAATAGCCCACTTAAGGAGCCTCTGCCTCTCTGCGACAGAGACCCAGCAGATGGCTGCCTGCAGGTGAATCTCATGATGAACCAGGATGGAATCAGCATTCTCCGATCACGTTTCTTAAAAGGCTAAGTCAAACTTGTAACAGCAGTTTTTATGCCAGATTGGGTAATATCTGTTTTCCTACAGCCACTGCAATGTTGACTAACTCCATACTACGTGACCTGGCACAGAAACATGATCTTGCCTCTCTGCCCCACCAGGAAGCTCTGGCTCTGATGCCACACCAGAACTGTATGAAAATCACTTATTTTTAATAATTTTGGTTCAGTTGTGCATACAAACCTACTGTCTTGCACACACACAGGTATGCCTAGCTAAGAGACAAAGTGAATCTATTTCAGTACTCACATTAATGAGAAAAGATTTGCTATTGAGGAGGTTAGAGAACTGGTTCAAAGCCTGCTCCACAGTCTGCCGCCTGGCCTCGGGAATATCCAGCTTCCCTGTAATCATCACGTCTTTCTCTCCATCTTTGGAGGGCAAGAAGAAGACTCTGTCCGTGTAGGTTTTGTAGTCCAGTACTGGAATTCCAGCTTCATTGATATCGTTTGTCTGATCCTCCATCTCTATCATTAGATCTGGAATACGCAATACAGTTTAAAGCTTCATTTAAAAAAGGCCTGCAGCTTTTTTAGGCAACACGATCTCTTAGGATGCCTTGTAATGGAGAAAAAGCAACTCAACACCAAAACCTCTCTTTCATCTCACATTTTCTCTTGCTATTTTTACCAATTATCCTGTTAACTATGACAACAGCTAATCCTATGGTAGACAAGAGGATAACTGCCTTTAGCACAGATGGTTTCCTTGTTGCTGTCTCTCTGAAAAAGGGCCTTAATGGACGTCTGGGTGAGTTCATACGAATGTAGGCATAGAGCCAGAAAAAGACACCGCAATATTGTTTTCTTGGTTTTTTTTTTTTCAGTGCACATTCTATTCCCTCTGAGTCTAGGTAGTAATAGAAGTTCTTTTAAAAAACACATAGCAATGAAGGAAAGAAAGGTTCAAAGCGTAAAGCATGCTCATTTAATTGGAAGAAAGGAGATAGCAGGAAGGAAGAAGGTTAAATGGTTCATTGAAATTGATGGAAGCATTTCTGTGGGACTCAAAAGCTCTGAAATTCTTAAAAAGGACAACAATTAGGGAATCATCCTTTGGAGCAGCTATTCTAGCTGAAGGCTTTCCAATTACCCAATATTGCTGATTGACTAGAATACCATGTTAATTAATATAGTGACCTATTGTCTCAGCAATTTTATTGTTCTTACTCATTCATTTACCTCTTTGTTTTACAGCATTCAGTAAAGCTGAGGGAGAAAGCATCTTGTGGTTTCCAGCTTTGTGGTATTTGTACTTCCTCCCTGACGTCCCTTTCCTTGGCTATCTTTGGTCCCATGTATTTTAGACTGTCTGCACTTTGTGCTGGTGACATCATAGTTTCACAGTATAGATCGAGAATGTGTTTTGGCTTCAGTGTTTCATTTTACTGTCAGCCAAGGTAGATGCAGTTTAGGAACTGGATTACTCCTTGGATGTGCATTCTACTTCCCCAGTGTTTGTGCTTGGTGAAGCAGAGAGGAAACCTTTAACCCAACACGCAGCAGGAGCCTGCAGCCCCCTACTAGGAGTGTCGGCAAGAGACAGGCATCTTCTCTTTTCAGAAATGGGTATGCAGTTCCATGGGAGAGGTGGCGAGAGGGAGGGCTGTTAACCTTGATCGATACTCTCACAGTTCAAAACCCAGTTTGAAATGAAGCCCATTTGGGAATAGTTCTTGATTCAAACATTTGCTTCTGGTTTGTGTTCAGAACCTGGAAGGAGTTGGTTTTCCAGAGAAAGCTAGCTGGTACAAGAAAAGAACACCCTGTCCCAGAAATGCCAGAAGAACAAGAACTGGGAGAGGCTTCCAGCACGGCCGAAATCTTTGAGATACTCTGAGCTTCTTAAATGAATTTCAAACTCTAACCTGAAATTGCTCCTTAATTCAATCCTGCTTTTTAGCCACTGTCAGTATGAAATAATCTATTTCTCTTTAGAAATAAAATGTGTTTGTTTTTTTTTTTTTTTTAGTAGAGATTAATTCAACATGACACAAGAGCAAGTATAATTCAGATAATGAGGTGACATTTCATGGTAATCATTTAGGCCAATATTTGCAATGTTTGCACTCAGATGCCTAATTTTAGCGTTGCAACGAGTAGTTCAACATGTAGAAATGCTGAGCCTTCACATCTCCCACTGCCTTCCCTGGGATGATGCCTATATGTTTACACAGAACAATTAGCTAGCTCCTCAAATCAAGCTTAAGTTTTTCCCATGATAAACAGGGCAAAATGTTATTTTTTTCCTGCGAGCTTACTAAATTATCCCTTTGTATGCTGATTGCTGCAAATAAATTTTGCAGCTCTGAAAACAGTTTTTAATGTGCATACTTCACACGTACAGCCATTGTGCTAAATATTAATCGCACAGTTAATCACTATGAAACATTCTTACCTCTGTATCAATGGCCACTCAACATTAACAGCTGTAAGTAACCCCAATCTCAACTAGTTTGTTTCCCAGTTGCTAACTCCGTGCTTCCTTTAGACTAATACGATCCATTTCCTTTAATAACCTCAGGTCCTTATTTTATTTTATTTACAGCTTTCATACACAATAGCAAAATATCTGCTGTATGTCAATGTCAGTAATCAAGACTACTAAGATCTACTAATTATTTGTTCCCAGAAGACAGTTTTAGCAAGCTAGCACCATTGCTCCAACCCATTGCTGAAGAAGACCCACAGCAGTGCAAATATCTGTCATACCTGTGAATTCCTTCTTGCACCGGTCTCTGACACTCTCCTCCAGGCCTTCAAGCTGCGATTTAATTTTTTCATACTCTCGTTCTGCTTGTTGGCTCTTGCGTCTTTATGGAATAGAGGTAAGATTTAAAAAAAGTTACAAACTGCAAAAGTAAATAATTTCCAACAGCTCTGAGTGGGAAACCAAAGGACTGGAGGACATTTTCCTGGTTTTGATTTCTTTTTAAAAACTGGCAGCAGAAAGAGAATGGAGGAGGAGAGCAGCAACAGTGGACCAAGTCTTCATTCCATGTAAATCAACCTGGCACCACCACGGGCCTGCTGCTTCAAAGCACACTTGGGCCAGCTATTTAAAATCCAATAAGCACTAGCTGCAAATGCTTTCAAACACTTATTAAGTACAGAAACTTCATTTGTATGTACTGAACAAAGATTGCTTGCAACATGTCCCGCACTGGCTCTGAGCCACCCAGGAATGTATCTGGGACTGAAATGAGAGGTTGCAGGAGGTTCACGAGAACATCAGTGTTGTACAGCACATACTTCAGCATTGCTTCAGCTGTATTGATATTCAGCATAAGAGTGAAATCCACCCCCTCCTAAGGGACAGTATGAGGCCCTCATTTCTAATCTTAAAATTGGGCTAAGTAGGTCTTAAGTGAAATACAGACATTGTTCTGGCCCTTTGTGAAGCATAAATTTCACCATTAATCATGAAATTTGTGTGTGTGTAATACTTATCTCAGCTGGAAAGGCCAAAATGATCTCTTGGCCAAATCCATCCAGCTCAGGCCTTCAGTACTGACATTCAGCATAAACATTGATGGATATGTATACAGAATAAGTCATCCCTTCACAAGAGGCACTTTAGCTGCCATTTCAAGAATGTATGTGTGCAACTCGGCCTGCAATTGTGCACTTGGCAAGCCTGGGACCAATTGTTGTGCTTATGTATAAAGCATGGACTGGGCTGACTGACACCAAGGAATTTCATGTGCGTGACAGGAATAAATTGATGCTCATACGTATTTCCAGCTGTAACTGTCTTTCTTAACTCTGCAGCTCATAAAAAAGATGACGATAATTTCTATAGACTGAGTTGAAAACAATCAGGTAGTACCTTGAAAGCTTTAGGACAGCAAAACCACCTAATTAAAGGAACTTACCTGTAACAGATGATAGAAGTAACGATGATTGCTATCATAGGAATAAGTACCAATGGCAAAATAAGATTCAGTGGGATGTCACTCACACGTGTATCATATTCCACCCTTCCAAGGATCCATTCCCGGAGTCCAAATTTCACCTAATTAGATAAGCACAGACATTTGTCTCAAAAAGTGCAAATGGACAGTGTTTCACTCAGTTGCGCTCTAAATTCTTAGTAATTCTCACAAGTGAATTTCTAGCTCAAACTGCCAAACAAAGGAAACATTTCTGAATATTTTATACTGAATTTAGGTCACTAGCACTTTATTGCATGAAGTAATTTTATTTTGCTTAGCAGTGGAAGAAAAATCCCCAGCCTGTCTACCTACAATTTTACATTCCTATGCAATGAAGGTAGAAGGCATTTGGCAGCTTGGGACCACTCTTTATGTGTGATGTCTTCTAGACAGCAGGCAGAAGCTGGAGGAAGAAAGAACTGCAAGGAGTTTCTTTACCGTACTACAACAACTTCGGAGAACAAATTACTTCAGTTAAGAAGCACTGTATCAGTGTCACTTACACATGATATTAAATTCTATCGAAAAGGTAACCTACAATGAATTCAGGAAGGTTATTGATGGTATCTCTCTTCTGCCGTTTCTTTGGTTGAGGCTGTACTTCTGGTGGCTCACAATATAAGTCCGTTTCAGTTAGTGTTTTTATGTTGCAAGGCTCGTCACCCACAAAAGCCTGGGCCTCATCTATCGTCATGGCTTTGTTCAGGTTACTGCCCTAGACAGAAAATACAAAGCTAAGTGATCATCACAAAGTCTTGGGAGACAAGAAGTCCTGAGTTGCAGCTTTCCATTTGGATCATTTTTAGCAGCAGATGTGATTTGCACTGCAGTGTACAGAAGAGCAGAGTGGTTGGGAATTATGCAATTCCTCTCCTTTCTTTCCTGGTGCGAGAAGAGGTGTCCCCTCCAGTCCTTGGGAGCTCTATGGCAGAGGGCATTTCCAAATGCTAGGATCAGCAGGAGGGGGTATCCCTGGGAAACCGAAAGTACGGCTAAAAAGATAGCAACTATCTCTGAGGAGGGGAGGGGAGAGGAAAGGGCAGCTGGCAATGTTCATCTAGCAGAGGTAAGGGACTCTACCAAGCACTTTGGGTATAGTACCAAACAGCTGTTAAGGGTTCAAGAAAGGAGGGAAAAATTTCATACACTCTTCAAGGACAAAATGAGCAACTACCACCTCTCGACAAGTTTACCTTTGCATTAATAAGTTTGTTGACTTGTTTTTTGATGCCATCTGTGAAGTTTTCAAAGGTTGGGTCTGCAACATAGGCAAAGGAGTGGCTCTCATTTTTTACAACCAAATGATAATGATCCATTAGAATAATAGTGGTAATATTGTAGTTTTCTGGGTCTTCCAGTATTGGTGGGGAAGAAAAAACCACTGTAGTTTCGTTGAGTCTTGTAACAAGCTTTCCATCAAACTTTAAGAAACAAGACAAGAAGAAAATGCACATTTTAGAGTTTGACTTGTTCCTGTACATAACTGTTGATAACTTAAACTGTAGAAATAAACCCACTGGATTTATAACCTCTCCATACAGCAGAAATAACATAGTATGAGCTATTTTCTGAAAAGAAAATGAAACAAATTTGTTGATGGGAATAAATTGTTGATTCATGATGTTCTAGCAGCCACCTGCAGAAAAAGCTTAGGCTACAGATCAGTTTCCACTGCCTCGAAATTCTATGGCTCTGGACAACACTGGGCTGATATCATTAAATTGCTCTAAGTTTAAGAGGTTAACATGGCAGCTTTAATTCAGATCATCTTCTGTACCATTAAGTATCTCAGGTAGATTATTTTCTAGTGATGCTGTTAAATACCTTGCTGAAATTCAATACAATTACTAAGTGAAATTTCAGAATAAAATTTACCAATTGTCATCAGCTACTCAAGGCAACAACTCAGTTAACCTGTCCTCCATCCTCAATTACACAAGCTTTTTTATCCTAGAAACTGATTCTGTCATTCAGTAACACCAACCACAGCCAACAACACTAATAGGAACCCTCAACATTTCTTCTATCACCACCTCAGTTTCTCACTTTGAGAAACGCAATTTGTCGCTTCTCCCCGACATTTCTGATATTGCCATATAAATGGAAGCAAAACAAAAGATCAGAAAAGTTTCTAGTCTTAACCAAGAATGTGTGCTGTATGTAATGATGACTTAAGCTAACGTGCTGAGATGCTCAGCATACATAAGAAGGGGGGTAAGAAATGCTGATAAACACTGTCAAGAATGCTAAATAGACTTTAAGATTGTCCTGGGAGTTAAGGTTATCAAGATAATTACATCTTGCAATTCATGGCCTAAGAAACGTAGGCAGTTTTCCTCTTAAAATTCTTTAAGCATAGGGTTCTGATGGACCCAAATCCAGCTGGTTTTTGCATACTCTGAAAGTTGAATCATGCGTATAATACAAAACATGCACATTACCAACTCTATATGGATCACAAGACAGTCTTAAATTGAAGAGCCAGCCTTAGAAAAAGTCTTATAACGTTCTTACTGGAAGATCAGTTTTAAGTCCTCAATCATTGCATTAAATTGTGATCTTCATCAGAAGAGTGGGAAATTGAGACTATAAGTAATGTCAGTTCTTCTTAACATGAGATGCAAGAAGGGTTCAATTTTTTAATGCTATTTTCCACAACTTTTTGTGAACTTGCTATAGGTGGAATATGCATGGAGCAAGAAAGAAAAGAAGATTTGGTTCACTGAGGTGTGAGAAAATAAAAGTCACTGACTGTGCAAAGCTGAGTACGCAGCATTGTCTGGATTTGGGTCCTGTTTCAGGCAAATCTCTATAAAGCTTGCAGTGGGAGAAGGAGGAGTGAGGTAAATTAAAAACAAACAGTTTCAAATTCTGAAATACATCCACTTTACCACTCAAAGCTTAATTCTTCTACCCTTATTCATATTGTATGAAAATAATTTTAAAGCAGAAGATTGCAAGGTACAAGTGAATGCAAATCAAGATGGTAGGAGCAGGCTCTTCTTCCACGGAAACCCTGAACAGACCCAGAAATCTGTTCAAACCTTATTCCACTCCGAGCCTAGTCAAGTCCCATGGGCAAACCTAAATGCATTTTTTGAACAGATTATATATTATGCATCCAGTGTGATGCCTTTGGGGGGAAAGAAAGAAAATTACCCTTTTGAGATTTGTTTTCCCTGCTTCTGGACGCTCTGCATATACCACCAACGAGAAACTCTGGATGAGCTCAAAACCGGTTCCAGTTACTGTAATATTTCTCCCTCCGCTGAAAGGCAGAATTAAAAGAGAAGTCAAGACATTGGCAAACTACCACAGCTATAGACTGCTTTATCCTGCACTGCTACTGCTTCCACTGAAAACAGCTTTATAATGCCTATATGACAATCAGATACCCTACAAAAAGGAATTCTGTTAAAGCTATTGATGACCACAGCATTTAAAAGCAACAACATCAACTTCAAACTCGTTTTAAAACAGCAGAATAAAAAAAGTAAAAATTGCCAGTATTTGTGGCTTTTCATTGATGCCTGTCTTTGTGTGCTTTACTTCTCCAATGTTTTTGTTAAAATCACTCCACCTACCACACACATAGAGACAAAGGTGAGAGTGTTTTTTCCGCAGGTCTGTAGGGACCTGGCTTCTCTATTCCCTTTCATTTGCAACACATTGTTTAAAAAACAATGCATTCGCATAAGATGAAGAATGCACGCGAGTTGCCAGTGGGGAATGAAAGTCATCGAAGTAACATGGATTTAGAGGGACAGCAATCCTCAAAGCAATCCATTAAAGTAAGCTTCAATTTACATAGAGTAACAAAAGAAATCTTTTAAATCCCTTGGGGTAAATCACTACTGATCTACCAAAAAAACCCCGCTAGGCCCCAAAACCACCCGAACCAAAAATCAAAAGCAAATATTAAAAACAAACCCTATTTTACATAAGTGACTACTCAATACTCAAGGAGGCAGGTACCAATTTCTCCAGGAGAAGTCATGGTCAATTTTATTTTTAATGTCCTGTTTGTAAGGTCATGATGTTACAACTTCCTTTTACTGAAAGAAAGTGGAAACATCATTATCTCTCTCTGTCAACTGTACTCCACTAAGCAGAAAGACCAGAATATTAGGAAACAGGAGAGACCAATGTGAGCCAAAGTCAGAAGTTTGTCCCTGCATCAGTCATAGAATAACTTTCAAAACCAGTGGTATGCTACAAGGACTTTTATGCAGATGATTTGCCATATTGCTACAAATATGAGTGGCATACATTTCTCTGGTTTCACAGTAAGTACTAGGTGACCTTTTTTCCAGAAGGAACGGCTACCAGATGGGGTGTTACTGAGTATCACCACAGAAGAGAGCATACCTTTTAAAAGCATTATTGAACCCTGATCTAGATTTCCTAAAAAGATACTTTTTTTCCTCATAGGACAAAGAGATGACAAGCCATAACTTTCCTTTGTTTCCAGCACACTTATTAAAAGCTGAATAGAAGAACTTTAGAATAGAAACAAAACCTTTCCATTAGAAATCTTTTATATAGGTTATCCTTACAGGATAATGATTTGTAAGTACTGCAAAGATCATGTTGTCTGACATCATGCTGAAATGCTTCAAATCACTTTCTTTGAGACATCTTAATTTAAAAGAAGCTCATTACCTTTTCTGGTTTCAGGATTTATCTTTGAAGTGGGGATTAAAATTTGCAGGTAAAGAGAATACTTTCAGACATCAGCTGCAGTTAAGGAAGATCACAAACTCTATGTATCTAAATGTGTGCATGGCTAGAGTCCAGGAGTTTTTATTTCAAACAGTTCTGTATGTAACAGGTTTACTACATATTACACATATTTTAACCCCACTGTAAATGAAGTTATGACAAACATTTCATTACCTGCTGAAGCTATTTACCGGCAGGAACTTGGTGACAGTAGGATTCTCACTGTATGAAAATAGCTGTGGTACACCAATTACTGTGCCCCCATAGTCCATTGTGACTTGAACAGCCTCAACCTTGCTATTAGGTCCTGTAATGCAAACGATCTCATCTCCAAATTCAGTGCTAGATTGGAGAAGAAAAAGAAGAGGAAACATCTTCAGTTACTAACATTACGGTGATTTGTATTCTTTACTGTAGTACCCCAGAAGCAACAAAAACAGGGCTTTATTTTTGCTTGGCACTGAGTAGTTACGAGGGGAGACAACACTTTCTTCAGATCACTAAGGGTCTTTAAAAAAGATGTAGGATATGAAAAAGAATAGTGTACAAACAAGAGAACAATGCAATGTCAGCACACTTTGTGTCATTCCTTTTTTGGGGGGGAGAGAAGGGCAGCAATTAATAAAAGGAAAAAGGAGTGCAAGGAACAAGCCAAGGGGCACTAGAAGATTAAGATTTTATATGGAACTACTGAGGAGATGCTGAGTGAAAGCACGGGTGGGTTTGGAGCAGCCAGTCAAGCAGAGAGCGTCGAAACAGGAAAAATCTTTGGATATCTGAGTTCTTCCACTTTGGTTGTTTTTACAGCTGCTTCTTCCAGCTGGAGCCTCCGAGCGAGTTTCTGTCTGAACGTTACGTGCAGAGCTCCATTGCATGAGATGAGTCATGAAGAGATAAGACAATGGATTTGTTTAATTTCTAAAGGCCAGAAAAGGTTGGGGCTTTGTTAGGATACAGCTCTGTATTGTTAGTTACTCAGGGTACGTACACATTGCAAGGCTGGCTACCGACTGAAACATGAACGTCCTTCTTGGAACCAGTGGCCAGGTTTGTACCAGTGATGGTAAGTGTGGTTCCACCTGCTTGTGGACCACTTTCAGGTCTTATTCCAGAAGGATGAGGTTCCTGCAAAGAGAAGATAGTCAAACTAATTAAGAAAATGAAAATAAAATTTACGCCAGTATTAACTGGTACAATAGCTAATAGAAGTTTAACATTACTACCTGAAAACAATAAAATCAAAATAGTGACAGACAATTCTTCTAAAATAAAACAAAATCTTTCATTACTCGTGCTGAAGAAAGAATAACAGATGATGTGAATGTACTTACATTTTTTCCATACTGTATTTTATGAATTTCAATTCCCTATTTACAAAATGTAGAGTTATCTGCCATTAAGTTTGGAAGAGCTTCCTGTTGGATTTCCCATTTTCATACTTATTATAAGATTTCTCTCTTCCTTATGGCTGAGTCTACCTTCACCTTTCCTTATCCTTTCCAACATTCTGCATTAGCTACAGGAGAGCAGAGCAAGGTTTTCAAAACTGGTACCAAACAGAAAGAATATTAAGATTCCCTTTATCCTGTAAGGCTCTTAATTGCAGTAAAATTGTTATCCTATTCTTGAGCAATGAGCTCACAAAGAAAGAAAATCAGAAAACGATGAACCTTTATGTACCTAGAACCCTGGGGCGGATTTCCTAAAACCAATTGAAACAAGCAGATGCGCTTCAAATTGTTATGAAATTTGTTGGATATTTAAATTTCTCAAATAAGTCCCCTCCTTTTGTTCTCAATTCAGTCTTTGTTCCTGTGATTGTATTCTGGGAGCTATGACAAATACCGTAAATTAACAGTAAGGGCTTTTAATGAACAGTGTGATTTAATTACTTCATCTCTAAGTAGCCCCTGCTTCCAGCTGAGAAAAGCACCCTTTTTCAGGACAACACTGAAGCTGCTGAATCAAGAGGATGACCGAAGCCACGCATGCTGCCTGAGATGGGTTACCAGCCTGCTCCAGGCAACCGCTGCCTGCCGACTCCATGGCCTGGCCATGCCTGCGGGGTAGGGGCCGGCAGGATGGCAGCAGACATGCCACAGCCCTCGCACCGGGACGATAACTGCTGTGGATGGAGGCAGCAAGGTGGGTCCCACGCAGCCAGCTGCCATGTGCACCACTGCAGGATGCCAGGTCCAAGTGTGTGGCAGGGGCATTGCTACAAAGGACCCTGCATTTGCTAAAGCATACCAGATCAACAGCTTAGGGAGGCTGTGGATAGGTAACACCTTTTTTGATGTATAATTGTGCTTCTTCATCCATATTCAAACACAGTCTTTCCTTAAATGAGTCAAATAAGTAATAAGCTTATTTCCTACTCTAATGTATATTTGTAAATGACATCTGGTCTCCTCCTCCTCGTCTTGCATAATCTTGCTGAAATGGGTGACTGATAATAAAGTCCAGCCTTGGGGCTATTCCATATGAAGCATACACAAATCAAGCAAGAGCAAAGTAGTTTGAAAACTTCCCTTGCTGATGAGGGTTTCCCTGATCACCATCACACTGCACTGGTCTCCCACTCTAAGGAGGAAAAGCTCTGCTTAGAAACAGAGCCAAACAAGCCCACACCTTACTAATCATGCAGCAGAACCCTTTCCCCCTGTGCCGTTTTGCTCGGGCACAGATTGCCATCTCTGTGTCAGCTTACAGCTATAAAACCAAGGGCTCATGAATGGCAGGGAGGAGGGGGACTGATGTGCCACAGTTCGGTTCAAAGCTTGGTGAGCCATCGACAAGATTTTTAGGAATCTGTAAAAATGCATCCAATTGACCTCATCATTACTTTACAAATTTGTTTTATTGAAGCACAGATATTATAGAAACACAGAGAACTCGTACTTGCTGTGCTTGTTTTATATTTTCATGTCTGAGCAACTTCCCTCTGAAGGAATGCCTCATGGTTCAGCACACTTCACAAATCCACAATGACAACTCTAATTTGCTCTCAAGTCATCGAGCTTTAGGAATATGCTTTAACACTAATTGGGTGTCAATTGCTTTTCTTCCCTGAGAGAAATCTGTTTGTAAACCCTTCACTCTTCAAGATGTACACTGCTACAGCATATGACTGCTCTCATGTGCTAACCTTTGATTTCGTTTTAATTTAATACATCACTTGGGTTACAAGATTTTATGTAGGGAAGTGACTCAAAGTAATTTTAAAGCATTTTGTAAGCAAAAAGGAGCCTTGATTCAATATAACAGAGTTGACTAAAACTTGCTCACTTAGGTCTATACAACCCTCTCTGTGCATACTCTTATTTGGATTTAATTGCTTGCCTATTTAAGCTAAATTGAAATAAGTCACACCAGGGTAAATAAAATGCTTGAGGGGGTCACTTTTAAAAAGTCACACTTGAAGTTTAAATTACCACAAGTCCAGACATGCGCTTCACAGAAAGGCTCATTTGAGTTTTTTTTGTAACACAATCTTGTTGCTAAAATAAATTACAATCAAAATTGTATATAAAATACACCATCAATAAATCGCTTATAAAAATGTATCAAATACTTCAAGTGTAACCTTACCACATGGACAGAAAGCCACACCTTTTACTGACTTCAAATTAAATCTTAATTGCTATAAATTGTTAGGCATGTTGGACCACTGCATCATCCGCAGTAAAAATCCAGAGCAATGATTAGGTGCACACCACGCCTGGGATAGCTTTCAGGTGAAAGCATCCCCCAGGAACCACTAAAGAATCAGTATGGAAAATTTGTTATCCCTGAACCTCAGAAAAGCTATTTAAAACTTGTGTCCTTTGCCCTAAATGCCACCTCCAGTGAAAGTCTAGCCTCTAAGGGCAGACTTAGGAAGGAAAGAAAGAAGAAACCACTCAAAGCCAAGCCTTTAAGCTGAGACTTAGGAAGGAAAGAACAGGAAAAGGTCTCTGAAGCATCACACACCACTGTTTCTCTGTAAGCTCAGCATAAAAAATGAAAGGAAGCTTGCTAAGGGCTTCTGCTAGACAGTCATATTCCTTTCTTCCTGCAAAAATGTGAAATAATTGCCGTTAAAGCACTCCTGGGTTATCTGCTGGGTAACTTTGGCAGGGCATCAGCTGGCTCTGTTGCTGCCAACCAGAAAAAATCAAGTGAGCCACAAATTTGAAGCAGAGCTGCCCAGCACCATTTGCTGTGGGGGACCTTTTAGTGGTGGCGTACATTTGCCTCCCTAAGAACAGGGATACATAGGTGATCAAATAGTAAACTGATCTCTGAATAACACAGCAGCAATGGGGAAGTGAAACAAGTATCTGTTCTGTTTTCCCCAGAATTTTTTTTTTTTTTTTTTTTTAGCAAGAATCTGACTCTGCTGGAAGCGAAAGCACAGCTACACTGGACGGGAGGACACATCACCCACCCCTCACCCCATGGACAGCACGGCTGCACCACGGACTCGGCACATCTCGGCTGCATTTCAGGCTGAATGGAAAACCAAGACCAAGAACCACTCTGGGAGCAAAGGCAGATCGCAGCCACGGAGGAGGTGGAACAGTTTAACCCTTATTTTCTCTTTAGTCACTGGTCTTGCAGCAGTTCCTCAAAGGACCATTTTAAAACAGCTTGATTCAAAGTATTCATATTTAATGTATTTAAAGTAATTTTGCAAATACCAAGAGCTCTCCAGAGAACAAATAATGTGGACTCCTCATAAAGATGATCTAATAAGGAGAAGCTGAACCGTGCTCTCTGTGCAGAGGAATGCTTCAGCATGACTGCTAAGACAAAGCATTGTATAGTCAGAGTTTGTTACTGTAAACTTGTCAGGAAAATGATCTGAATAATTTTAACTTGCTATTTTCTGTTTCACATTTTCCCCCTTTCCCTTCCTGTGAAGGACCTGCCAGAAAAAATAAGTAGTTAAAATAAATTATTGAGAATTTTAACAATTTTAATAACCATTTTATTGCAAAACCAATGTGCTACAAGTAAGTTTTAGTGCTTTTCTAAAATATTCTTGCATGGTTCAAAGAGCAAAGCTACATCAGCCCACCTGGCCATCTTTTTAAGAGTACCAATAAAGAAAAAAATATTGGTTCATCCAAATGCTCAACCGGAAAGCATTTTTCAAAAATGCAGTTCGGTAGATAGGAATAGCAGGAGAACAGTATTTTGCTGAATGCCAATATAATCTGAAAAACCACTGTTAGTGCTGGTAAAAGGCTCCAACAAGAATGATGTTACCTAAGGAGAAGGCAGCCCCTTCCTACGGCTGAGATGGCACTCACCAGTGGGACAGAGAGGTTCAGACCCGTGGAAGCTGCCAGGTCTAGGCTCATCTTACACAGTCTGATCTTAGGCAGTCTAGCAAAGCTGCACCTAACCCACAGCTCTACGTTGCTTACCACAGGCCTACTCGAGATTCCTTCTCCTTGCAGAGGAAAACAAGGGGCAAAGGGTAAATCCTTCACAGCAAACCTTGTTTGAGGGATAATAAAAACGCTGCTTTTACCAACAGGCAACCCCCTGTTGGGGTTTGGACTCAACCCTGAGCAATACTGAATGTTCACCTGTTACAAACAGCACTGATAAACCTAGGACCTCAAGTGCTGTGAGATCAGTGATGTCACCTTTTCAAAATCCCCTCAAGGATTTTTTCTCTCCTTGTTTCTGCCCTTTTCTCATTTCAGCCTCTGAATCAGAACTACGCTTGCCGTCATAATAAATACCCTGCTTTCATTTTCAGCCCTCTACACCTCGGATCTTTGTTCGCTCAGTCAGAAGGTGCCCAGGGGAAGTCACACTTTCTACAACATCGCAGCGCACCGCTATAACATCACACCACAGTGCTCAGTGCAATTATGATGTTAAGCAGAACACTTGCTCATGTGTCCTATATGGAATTTGTAGCAGTCTTGTAATAATTCTTCTGGAAAACATCAGCTCTTGTGAGGACTTGGCTATACTTCATTTCTCATGGACACAGTAAAATTTAAACAACCCTGCATACACTAGTTTAACCCTTGTTTTATAATTCCTTAAAATGTAGAAAATCATAATTCATATATGTGTCAGTCTTTTTCTTATTTTGCTTGAAACGGGGAAATGTTCTTTCA